ACCGATGCCCACTCGTTGATGCTTTGTCAATATTAGTCCTTCCTTAGGACCTATAAATTGGCTTTTACTGGACTGATGAGGTAAGCGCCATTTCTGAGATATCATGTAGCCTTTTAATTTATTTGTATTTATTATAAATCATCTAGACTGATATGTAAACTAACTATTTCCTCGATATCATCACAGTCAATTATATCTATCACTTTTTCTTTTCGTACATCTTTATTCTTCTTATTTCTCACTACATCAAAGATCATTTTATACAGCTCTAAAGACAGGCCAAACTAAAACTGCGTTAATGGCAGATTTCAGATATTGAAAACAATAATCAGACCAAATCTTATTTTTTCACCATATCTCGTTATGCGATATTACGGTGAAGAGAAAGATCCAACAGAGATTTAACTTGATTGCCTCTCAAAATGTATCCTGTCGGATCAACTTGGAGTGGATCCATATTCATCGTGATAATACCACTCGACCTTAATTCCTGAACTTTTCGAAATCACTTGAAAAAGGATCTGAGCTATTCTATTTTATCCTGAGATAGGTCCAATTAATGGATTTACACAATCTTCGAAGTACATTTCCAACTAGCCTTCGACCAGCTTCCGATGAGTCCTATCAAGAAAACTAAAGATATGACAAATCGAATCTTGCCTGGCTTAATACTGGACTAATTTTCTCTACGAATCCCGAGCTTGCTCTTATCTGCATTAATTGTCACAAACAATAATTTCCCGGAACTGGCGAGAGAGAGTGTCAGTTGGGAATAGAAAATTAACAGGGCCTTGTTTCAGAGCCCTCACCCTCCGCGCCGATTCAATCTGTTTTAATAGTAGCAATTTAATTAACAATATCAATATACTTTTTAGAAATAACGGATTCTCTCTCTCTCTCTTCCATCGTCCTTTCTACATTCTTTATGCTCAAGTGGCAGTCGTTATTGAGTTAGAATCGACTTTTCCTTCGAAGTATGAAAAAAAAGAAGATATTGAAAGCTTTTAAAAAAATGTCTTATCAATATAAAAATTTACTCCCTTTGAAAAAATATGGACCCAAGTGGTTTGAGAATAAAAAATAAGAAGTGTCGGATATAACCAAAATTACAATTTATCAACTTTTTCTTTAGGGTTCATATTTATAAATTATTTTATATAATAAGAATAGACATAATAGTCTTGTGAAAAAAAGATTAACTCAACCGATACAATTATAAGTCAGTTCGATATTGGGGGCGGGGTGGCCGAATGGGCTAAAGCGTGTGCACAGCACCGCGAGTTGCCTGGCAACCGGAGAACAAGATTTGAGATGATTTAAAAAGTACGAGTTCGCGTCCCGGTGCCTGAGGGGATTTTAAAATTCCTCGCCCTCACCCTCCGGCCCGGGAAAATCCCGTATAGCCTAAAAGGCGAGGTAGGGAAGAACAAAAAAAAAATTCAGTTCGATATCGGTCCAGATAAGAGCAGGTATGATATCAGGGAAATCGCTGATAAGTTTAAGGCTATAAAGCAGACTTTTTGAATATGGTTCCAGAAGATTATGAAAATAATGTCAGAACTGGAAAAGCTTCCAAGATTTTGTTCTTACTTAAACTTGCCGTTTTATGGGAAATACAAAAAACTCGTGCCATTCCTGTTAGGAATGTGAAGAAATTCAATCTAGAATGTGAAGCCATGCCGTGTGGATAACTGAAACATTTAAAATATCATACCATTACGAGAAAACCGCAGTCAAAAAAACATCACTTTTATACACAAAAGTAAAGTACATTTTTTATTGTTTCTTAGGTTGTACCATTCCAGTGGTCATCAAGAATAAACGTTAAACTAATTTTTATCGTTAAAAATAACATTAGATTAAATTTGACTTTAAAGCTACGGTTTCCTGTTAACTTTATGAAATATTCAATACTTGGTTTTAGGAGCTACTCACTTCCGTACTAAGCTGTCATCACATCCTTGGTTGAATCACCTCACAATCTGGGCTGAAGAAGAGTCATTTCTCGTACACATTTCTCGTAAAGAGCCGAGTTTCACACAAAAAAAAAAATACGGAGTTCGCGTCCCAGTGCCTTGGGGGGGGGTTCTTTTAAATTCCCGCCCTCACCACCTGACCCGGGAAAACTCCCGTATAGCCTATAAAGGCGAGAACTCAAATACTCAATTGGCGCATTAATGATGCCCTCATGTCAGATAATAGGAAAAGAAATTAAAACCATATTTTTTATATTCAGAGCTGGTTTGCCGGTATTTTTTGTTCAAAACGTAACGGTTTGTGCTGGGAGAAATAAGGTACTTCTAGTGAATCCTAAGACAGCTAAAACATCAGATTTTATAAATAAACATTGTTGTTACGATGATTTAAACAATTGAAATCAATTTTTATACATTTCGCCAACCGCCCGAAAAACTAGATAGACTCTATTGTTAACAAAGATTTGGACTTCTAAAAACAGTTTTCAGACCTTACCCCAACCGACCACCCCGAAAGGTATTGAGGATTTAACACGCGAGAACGTTGAATTTAGGGTGACTACCATTACTTTTTATTTATTTAATTGTTTTTATTAGCCTATTCGAGTTACTACCGACCCAGTTTTTTACTAAACTGCATCTAATTGTCTATACTGACCAAATTAAAAACATATCACGAGTTTAATAGCTTAAGTTTAAAAAAATATTTTTATTATAACATATATGTAACTTTATAGATTTACATATTACTATAATATGTCATTAGAAAATAAGCAATAAATTATAAAATATTTTAACAATGTAATGTTTACAATAAAAACAAAAGATATTGATTTTCAACAATCTATTGGTATCTACCGCGAATATTTTTACAATATTTAATTTTAAGGAAATACTTATACTTGCAATGCTTTTATTACATGAAATACCTGATATAAATAGCAATTGATAATTTAGAGTAATAATGTCAAAGAATATGGTTCCCCACACTCGCTAGAAGAGGCAACTAGTTCACCTTCCCAATACCTGGCAGCGCCACACGAGTTCGCTCTAGCAACGTACCAAAAAATGTATTTATATTTGTTATTGTTGTATGATAAAATGCATACATAAATGTAAATTGAAATATGCATATTCATTGTAAATATTTTTTATTAATAAAGTTTAATGGCGATAACATATACTGATCGAAGCTCGAAAACAACTGTAATTGTAACGCCTCTTGATAGCCGATTTAGTCATAGCGGAATGATTACCTCAGCCCCTTCATAAAGTCAAAAGAAAGGTCCTCAGGTCTCTGCCCTTAGCGGTGTAGACCTTATACGCAGATAATCTGTTTATTCACTTTGTCCAGTAACCTCTAACAGGTAACAAGTCTGGATGCTGATCCATCTGCTTATAATCCTACATACTAAATCAGGAGATTGATCTCTCCGTTAGTAATTCATCCTCTCACAAAGTATGGAGAAAGATCCCTCCATTAGTAATTCATCTTCTCACAAAGTCTGGAAATTGATCCCTAGGTTTGTGGTTATCATCCCAGCGGAGTGTTAAGGTTGATCCCTTACACCGCAGACCAAGAGTGATTCGTATGCTGATCCGCCTCACACTTCAGGTCATCCTTCTATTAATCTTCCTTCTTCCAATTAGTCATCTTACTCCTAAATTGAGTAACGCTCTGTCCAGGCTTTCTGGTAACTGTTATCCTCTGTACTATACTTTGACAGTTTTAAAGAATTAAACTTAATATAAAACTGTTTATTAAGTTTCAAAACATTGCTAACATTTGAATAAGTACAATATTATATTTTTGATAGAGAAAAAAATTGAATAAGTATATTAGTAGAAAGGTTGATCATACGTAGCTCATATAGATCTATCTAGCCAATAATTGATAATAGCAGAGACTTATTTAAAAATTTGTTAATCGATTCCGATTTCAAAGTATCAAGTTTAGAAACTAAATAAATGTACAAAAAGCGAAAAGTTATGCGTTCTAAAAGTGAATTAGAAAGTTTAAAAACTATTTTTATGAAATTCCATACGTGTGTGTGTGTATAAATTATTTTATAGTAGAAGATTATATCAGTACAATAGTAATATTTTATATGTGCTCACATAACTTTTAAAGAGAAACAATATCACCAAGATAAAATAAAAAATAATATTTTATTATCTTGCTTTTAATGGATGGATCTGGTCGACTATAGTTCAAATTAAATACCCTCAAAACGGACAATGAAGGAGATGGTTCGGGGTGGCGGTCATAAATATGCTAAATAGTGGCAAAACTATTTAGCCTATTTATTACCGCCACCCCAGACCATCTCTTTCCTTTATAACGCAACGGTAAATTATTAAATATTCAATAAACATACAATATTTGAGCATTATTCTGCAATTTCCGAGTAAGTTAGAATATGTCCAAGAAAACTTACGCGCACCGCAGTGTGCGACAGCTAGAAGTAAAGAGTTTTTTGGACTAAAAGAAGACTCTAATGACAAGAGTTGATAAGTTTGAAAATGTTTTCATGAGGCTAACACATTTTACTTGAACATTAATATGGTATGAAGTCCCTCTTGCTGACAAATGAAATATAATGAATAATTTAACAATCAACTACAGCTCTATAATGATTATAATGCCTAATGTTACTCATATCTATCTAGGCTTGATAAAAACAATAATTAAATTGTATATTCAAACACCCAGTAAGTCACCAACTTTTAATTTAATTTTACATCATTCTTTTTTTATGAAGATATGCTGAACCACAATCAACTCAAAGAAATGATGATTTCGTTTTCAGTATTCAGACGCAGTGTTGGATTCGGGTATTGGATGTTCCACATTCCTGCTATGAATACCAAATTCATTTGAATGAAAATTGCTCCCTCTCTGAAAGGCTTACTAAAACTTTCCCCGAATCACTTAACATCAAACCGTTCTACATGAAATAGACTCCATTTCAGAGGCCTACAGCATAGCTTTCATCAGTAACGATAACAGTCATTGCCTAAAACACCGTAACACAACAGCTGTTCATCAGTCAGCACTACTTGTACATGGCTGTGTCGAACGTATCCTTCCTGGACTAGTAGTCCGACAACAGAGTTAATTGGGTTTTGGTACTCCCATCCGGAGCCTTTAGATAGGTTGACACTGTGGTTAGACATCTCACAGAAGGGGAAATTCAATTTCGTGTAACATCGTACTTGAGGCTGCGGCAAGATTCAATCGATTACTGGTCCTTTGTTGATTTTAGTTCCAACTACTTTCAGGACCTACTAAACGTTCATGAAACAACTTGTATTCATAATGATATGGCATTAAATTAAATTACAAACTAACAAAGCTGCAATATAACTCAATAGATTATTCAATAAATAATAACAATAATGTGGACCGGTAATGCAGAGTGGATGGATGGCTGGTAAGGTGAAGATTATATGATCGAATCTCAACCCTTTAGAATAGGGAAGACCTAAACAAAAATAATTTTTATATTAGATATTAAATCACTAAACTGAACACCAAATATATCACAAAAAATTGATAAACGTCTAAGTATTTGGGCCACTATTTCCGTTTTTAAAATGTATTAAATTATTTATTATTATTATTTATTGTTATAGTTACTGCAGTTCATTTCTGATCAATAAACAGGTCTTGAGTTCTAAAGTTTAATTTCATGATGTTATTTTCAGAATCACAAATTTTTATCATAGAACTCTGCGATTACAAAATAACGTCAAAAAGACAAAATTTCATAATTACAGAAAATAAGGTGTGAGAGAGCTATAGGATAGAAAGAGAAATAAGATGGTTGAGGGCGTAACAGTTTCTCATAAATTTCATGTTTCAGTTCTTATAGAGAAGAGTAAAATAACTCATATAACAGTAGTTAGTTTACTAAAGAAAATATAAAGATAATATTCTGAGGCACTGAGAGTATAAGATTAAAGGAGGAAGGCAGATTAAAAGCACTTGAGCAAAATAAATGTTATAGAATGAAATCGATTTATGGCTTGGAACAGCTATAAGTGGGAATAAAAACACCCCCACACAAGGCAGTTTGAGAGTTTTATGTGTTTTCAACTACAAATTTCGAATCATTAGAATTGGTTTCAATTGAAGCTTTACGACAAAACAAATGCCATTTACTCAACTTTCTGAAAATAATAGAAGATAATAGAAGATTTGTATTAACGCACATCACTGACATGCATTTCTATTTCTTATCGAAAAACAATATATACCTTGTTTATATCTGCATTACATTAATATTAACAATTCTATGTGATTTGTATTTTTAATATTTCACTAGTTTTTGTTTAATTCTATAGTTAATTTTAAATAAATAAGACATTTTTTTTTGTCTGCAATTCTTCATCCGCACCTGTCATGGTAGTGACAATTAGCAGATTTGTTAATAAGTTGAAAATGGCATGAAAGGCATGACGACGAATGGTGCCCAGCAGTACCTCTTCCCTGGTCTGTTTACATCCTAAAATCAGGAAAAGAAATCTCTCATCCAGCTCCTTTTCAGTCGCCTCCTGATGAGCATTTCAGCCGTGGCCATGTCGTTGATAAGTCCATTGTGATGTCGGTGTAATTTAAGATGAAATCGGGACTTAAGAGTACGTATGTGTTGGTCAATGGTTGGTTGTCTTAGGTCGGATGTAAAGTTTGACATACCAGTGAGCTGCGGTTATTAGTCTTAAAATTTTAGATTGAAATGATTGTAGTTTTTGCAATTGAGTCTTTTTTGCTGAACCGTAAATTTGTGAGGCGTATGTCCAAATGGGTCTGAGCAGGTAAGTGTATGTATTTAGTTTTTGTCTAATTTTCAATTTTGATTTAGAAAACAGTAAGTATATTTTAATATAAGAAATATAATTCATAAAATAAATATGCATATTATTTTAAGTTGGAACAATCCAAAGAGGGATTTACTTCTTTCAGTATCCGTTCTAGAATGACTTCCGTTACTGTCCGTGCTAGAATGGCTTCCTCCGTTCTTGGTGTTTCGAAGAAACTTGTATAAAGTTTTTTAAAGTGAATTAAACAATAGAAAAATAAAATACCGAGTGTCTCCAAATACTGGATTCATATCATCCACCAAGTTGAAAAACAATTCAAGAAGTGGTTAAAAATTGCAGACAAGAGGATTACAACAAAAGTTGGATGAAACCGTGAAAGACATTTCTTTTTAAGTGAAAAATTCTTTAGCCGCGTATTGCACTTTTTTTATGGAGAGTAAATTAGATTGAACCGTCAGATCTCCGATGTCTAACGCTGGGGTAAACTCGGCGTAAGTCGACTAATGTTTTTTCATATGGATTAAAATATCTCAAAAACTAAAAATTAGACCTGCATACTGTAAGCTAGACAATTATTCAACATTTCATCCTCTCTGTAATAGGCTATTATTTAAAATAGTTTCTTAACGCGACGCCATGTTAGAGAGGTGAAAAGGAAAAATTAGTATCGAAAACCAAATTATAATGCCTTTTATTAAAGATTTATGGATTAAAATATCTCAGAAAATAAAAATCGGACTTGCATACTGTGACTGAGGGGGTTGTTCAGCGTTTCATCCTCTCTATAATGAGCTCTTATTTATAATTTATATTTCATATCGTATAATAATAATAATTCATGAGATGAAAATTTTTATTTTCCAAATCCAAATTGCAAATCAGACAAATACTAAATACATACACATACCTACTCCAACCCATTTGGACATTCGCCTCACAGTGACATACCGTTCAGCAAAAAAGACTCACTTACAAACATTACAATCCGAAATTTTATAACTAATAACCGCTCTTGGTCTTGTACTTTGCAAGAGCAAAACCAAGACCACCTATCTGTCGCAAGACCAAGACCAAGAACGGTAAAAAAAAACAACGATTTTTAAAATAAAAAATAAGACAAAATAGCAACTAATACTTTACAATTTTAGTTACTGTATGCAAATAATTGGTATTGCCAATATAGTTATGCATTAAATTTTTCTTATTTTTCATTCAGGATGAGCTGGGTTTCTCCTATCTAAAAACTACAGTAATATCTGTATAGTAATGAGCTAATAGATAACTGCAAGACTGTTGCGAGACTCTTGCGCAAGACCAAGACCAATAATCGTTTTGGTCTCACATTTAGGCAACACTACTAATAACAGCAGCTTCCTGGTACGTAAACAACAAAACTTTAAATAACGACTTACGACAACCAACTCTTTACTCACGATTTCATGTTAAACTACAAGGACATAATAACCAACATGGCCACCGTTGACATGCCCATTAGGATACTGAAGATGTGCAAGCAAACACCAGGAAGAGATGGCGCTGGGTGCTACCTTCCACATATCATTAGCATCTATATTCCCATCAAATCTGCTGATTGTCACTCTCATGACAGGTGCAGATGAAGTTGTGAAGATAATTTTTTTTTATATTATTAATCTGGCGTTGTTGATATTTTCACTTCTATCGTGTGGTCTAAAGCACACACCTTAGTTTTTTTTTTTTTTGGTGACTCCACGGATCTTCATACGTTTCAACAAGCCTTCTCTACATTCTTGAACTATTGATTTTCAGTGCGCTGAAATTCTGCAGCACCTTTGTTGATTCGATAAATCCATTTTGGTCTTCCGTGTGGTCTATTAAACTACTGTTGCCTTAATAGCAGCATTGAGGCTTCATTGAAGGTTGATTCGATCCCCGCCCTTCCTAATCTTCAAGCATTTACATTATGAAATATTGACTGACCAGTTTCTGCATGCAATCCCTTATTGATCGTTCTCATCCATGCACTAAGATTCTGATCCTAAATAGCAACAATATCGTGCGGAGGGGTTTCTTCTCAAAAGGGGTTAGAGGCAAGTTATCGAAGCCTGGCTTAAACAAGGTATTCTATATCCTTAGTTTGTGACTTCTACGTATTTTCGACATAGCAGAATCACTGTGAAAGAGAAAAAAAACCTCTGATCGCGCTTGTTATATGCTAGTCAATCTGTAATAAATGATCATTTATTAAGATTATTATGGAGGTTATTAAAGGATTTATATGTGAATTATCTTTCTAATATAATGACAAATTTGTAATTGCGACAAAATGTAAATCCAGAAACTGTTATTGAATTTAAATATTGTTTGCGTTAAGGCAAATAAAAAAAAATAACAATAAGGAATATTTCATATTCCTGAAAACAGGATAAGGTGGTAGGGCAACCAAATTCCTGAAGACCGATGACCCAAAAAATATTTGATTATGATCCCGTAGGAAGAGGAAGAAAGAGGAAGTTAGGAAAGAACATATGAAGGGTTCGAAGGGGGAATTTTAGGGTGAACTCTCGGAGAATGAGATAGGAACGATAGGGTCAGATGGAAAAACTTTTAGTTCTGAGAATCATATGGCTCTTATTCCATTCAATAGAAACACATAATACAAGATATACTTAGTATTTTATTTATTTTTTCAGTACGATTAACTATTTTTTTTTTTTTTTTTTTTTTTATTGAATAATAATACAATCAGCTGGAGGGCTATAAGTATTAAGGCTAAAAGTTCTCATTCATACAGTATATACAAGTAATACAGAAGTAACTATAAATATAAAAAGTAAATAAATAATACTTATAAAAAAATGTAAATCAATAGAAAAAAATAAAAAAATAAAAAAAATAAAAATTAAATAAATAAATAAACAAAATAAAATAAAAACTTCTAAACACATTCATACCTATATACAATATATACATTCGCCCAGGAATCTCCGAGCCAGGCTTTTCTCCCCACATGTGGAAAGCAAAGCAGGACTCCAGAGATCCCAGTGCCATTTTTCCAGCCGCATCACTAGTATTAAAAGCCAGTGGAGGCTGAAGGAGGGCACTAGAGCCACAGATGCTCAGGACTTGAGTGGAGAAGCTGGCCATTGCCAGGACTCCAGAAGCATATTTACAATAGATCTCGCGGCCACTGCCGTTTTAACCTTCGAGGGGGATTGTAGGGATGGTGGGAGCTGGATAGGGATTGAGCTAGAGGATTTGGATGATGGATAAGGTTCTGGTGAAAGTTTGAGAATCTGGATGGGATGATGTCGAGGACAAAAGGGATGTTAAGGTCATGGTGTAGGGTCTTATTTGTGACATAATATGGGGCA